TTTATATATAAGTCACTTTGGAAGGACCTCCTGAGGGTCTTTTATTCACATCGATGTCTTGTCCTTGCTATCAAGTGATCTCTCTTTGTGAAAGATTCTTTCATGTGGTACGTTGACAAACAACTATTGTAAGTCTTGATACACTACATCGCATGACTTCCCACTGCTGATTTGGAATGTCACCTCCTCAGAAAAATGTCTGAAGTTGGTCAGATGAGATGTAACCCTTTTGATCCTGTGCTGGCTATCATTTATTAGCGATCTTTTTCATATAAGCGGTCTTTTTTCTTTCTGATAATTGCATCATTTTTCCAAGTATTGAGGTCAAGGTAATGGATTACCAGTCTCTCTTCAGGAATGGTTATGGCAAGCTAAAATCAGATTTTCTTTTTAATTTCTCTCCTTACCCTTCGGTCATCCATAATGGTAATACCACCACTTTCCTGTGGATTCACAATCTTTATATATATATATTCTATATTCTATATATGTATTCTATATACATATCTCAGCCAAAATTCCTCTCTGTGATAATATTCCTAAGAATCATAACATTTTATTAAACATTATGTTCTCTATTGGTTATACAGTCTTAACTTGAATACTCTTTTTAAATCTGAACTTTGTGAGATATATATGCTTTGCATTTGGTATATACCATTTACTTTCAATTACGACACAATCCTCATTTTAATTTTGATTTGGCTATGAGTGTATGTTTTAAGTTGCAGTATTATTTTCTCCAGGAAATGATTTATTTTTGTTTCTATAATTTCAACCTTGCATCCAGCTCGTTGCTGGTGGGAAATCCGTGGAGACCTGTAGTATATTGCATACAGTACTCGCCTCACAAGCGAGAGGACCCGGTTCTTTTCCCAAGCAGGGCAAAACCTTAGGCAAATTTCCTTGCTCCACATGCCTCTGTTTACCTAGCAGTAAGTAGGACCTTGGTTGTTAGTCGATTGATAGATCACTTCCCGGGGGTGATAATCCCTCCAAATTAAAAAAATAATAATTAAATTGTCAAGAATTGTTTGTGGGACACAGCTATGCACAATTCGCTGCTGCGTTTGGCTCAAAAAGTACACAGTCAATGCATTTTGCATTATACCATAACAACAAAATTACATTTGTACAGCGCCTTTCACATTGGGAGGACATCCCAAGACTCTGGACGGTCAGTGTTTCGTAACCTGAACTGGGGGGCGGGATTGGGGAGGGTGGACGGTAGGGGGGCAAGATGAAGGTCTTGAGATGGGTCTTGAAGGAGGCAAGGGAGGGGGCGTGGTGGAGGTAATAATAATAATAATAATAATCCTTGCATTTGATATAGCGCTTTTCACGTCGAGAGGATGTCCCAAAGCGCTTCACAGATTAGACTGTAAAGTGAATTGACTGTATATTTGTGGGCGAACGCGGCAGCCAATTGCGCACAGCAATGTCCCACAAACAGTCGTAGATTGAAAATGACCAATTTATTATTGTTTTATTTTGGAGGGATTATTATTACCCAAACTGTCACATGTATCAATGCTGTTGGGCTCTGTATGAAGCAGAGACTGGATGCTGGTATTTGGGAAGAAAGTACTGCAGGTACTGCAGGATGGAGTTCCAGAGGGTGGGGGCAGAGTGGTAGAAGGCCCACACGTCAATGGTGAGGCGGGCAACGTGAAGCAGGCTGGAGCCTGCTCAGCGGAAGAAGCAGACAGGATGGTAGGGGTTTAGTAGGTCACAGAGGTAGGGCTTTATATTGTGTGAAGCGCTTTGAAACATCTCACCGATGTGATAAGGAACTATATCAACTGCAAGGATTGTTATTATAATAAATCATAGCCCAATGCCTGATTAGATACTCATCTTAAGCTTCTTACCAATTTTATCATTGTTAAAAGTATGTAGTCAATATTTTCTCCCCTATATTGAGGAGGATCTGAAACACATGCACATTATAGTGTACATTAATTGTCTGAATTTTAAAATGAGCTTGTGGCATGTCAAAGGGATCAATCATCCCATTAAGAAGTGAAAAATGATTGCCTTTGTACAGAGGGAATCCAATTTGCCGCCTTAAACCAGACCCTTTAAAGTAAATTTGTGCTACTGTAACAGGTTTGTTTTGGAAACCAAAATATTTCCGCAGACTGCATTCTTTCTACAACTTTAGCGCTTTCCTAATGACTTTGGACGTGGCAATCTGGACACTTCATTATTCATCACATCCAGCCTCTAATTTTTCTTTCATTAACCTTCTCAGCAAACTGCAGCAGATGTTTGATATCAAAACTGTGCAACTGTATTTGAATCCAAACTGAGTCTGCCGATCAACAGTGCTGGACATAAAGAAACTGAGACTGCGCTGAACAGATTTTCTCCTTCTTTACATTCACACACTTGTAAAACGATTGGTGTTGAATTTACTGGATATAAAATTATTTCTTGTTTTTTTTAAATGTGTCAGCAGTTTTGTTAACATTTTTGATGTGTATGCCCAAATATGCATTTATTTTTTACAATTGTGTTCACGATAATAACAATCCTTGCATTTGACTTAGCGCCTTATCACGTCGTTGAGATATCTCAAAGCGCATCAGAGAACATATTGTAAAGTGGATTGATTGTGTATTTTGTAGGCAAATCGCGGCAGCCAATTACTTGCAGCAATGTCCCATCCCACAATCGGTGGCGGATTGAGTGACCAATTTATTTATTTATTTTTGGAGGGATTATTGCCCCCAGAAAGCAATCCCCCTAACGTTATTCTCTGGTAACAGACAGTAATCTTCTGTGTTGCTTATTTTGGGACACCGAAGTGCCAAATACTTTTTGAAAGGAAAAAATTAATTGTGAAATAAAGTTAACCAGTTCCCTTGGAACTTCCCTCCTTAGAGCTACCAGTGAGTGCGGTTCACTTAAATGTTGCAGCTCTTTGAGCAGCTGTATTAATTCTGGTGCTTGTGTGGTGAGTTCACTACCCCAGGGAATGGGGTATATGCATGACTCTGGCGTTCAGCAATGTTAGTGCAAAGGTAGATGCGAATAAACGGGGGAAAATTGTCAAAAAGTTATGCCAACGGCAGAATTGTGTTTATTTATCTTGTTGAAGCTATTAGGGAAAATCTCTTGCAGCTTTGCACAGCCGAGGAGCGACATCAAAGGTGAGTATTTCACTCTAGTTAAAGCACACTGAAGGTGCTAAGTCGTCAATCGGAGGAGAGTATAACGGAAATTTGAACAGTACAGTGTTTTTCTGCCTGAGAGAATGAATTTGACCGTTACCTTATCTAATGCAACTTGATGGGGAGTGCAGAGAGTATTGGAGCTTCCAATTATGAACAGGTTTTTACATTATAGTCAGCTACTTGGACAGTGTCAGCCTGTTGAGCCCTCTCAACCAGTAAATTCCTAAATTCAATTTCCCCACCTTATTTTCCATATCCTTAATATTGTTACTTTTCAAGAATTTCTTTCATTTTCTTGAACATCTCAATTGACTTATGGCATATTTATGGCAGCATTGAGAGAGTCTATATACTCAATGGGGAATCATTGACTTTTTTGGGTCAGCCAGGTGTTTGACACATGTGGAAACCCATCACGGCGTTCGAATATCCAAGCCAGATTGAGTTTCACGTATGCCACGACACGTGGAAATATCTGTCTGGAATAGAATGCCCACACTCTCCTTGGAGAGATGAACCTTTGGTTAACTAATTCTGGAGAGTATTAGGTAAGAATGAAGGCCTGTGGACAGAATGTGCGTTGGAGTTCAGTTTGCTAAAACCGCACTGCTTTCCATTGAGACTGCTGTCTGGCAAACTTGGCCAACTATGGTCCAATTTTCCTGACCAACACTTATTTAACTGTCCTGTGTGCAAGGTATCAAAGGGAAGTCTAAATACGGGTACAAAGCAACCGTTGCATTGTGCATCTCTACGATTCCTGTATGTGATATATGAAGAGTAAATGTTCATTTATTGAACAAAAACATTGAGTTTTGAGTGATCATATCGGCAATGTGTGTCCCCAGTGAGTATTGGGCAGTATGTAGTGTGAAATATGGATCGTCATCCATCATGGGATGAGACTGGGAAAAGTTTTGAAAACCAGGTCAAGGATTTTAACCTAATCCTCTTGAGGGACGAGAAGCCAATGGAGTTTGTAAGGAAGAACATTTGGGAGTATTGTATGTGTGTGTGAAGCCGTGTGCAAGAGGGAACTTGGGCTGTACAATTCTGTGCATGGAATAGAGAGCAGGACAGAGGCTGGTGAGAGCAATGAAAAAATATATCCTTAAGACTTGGATAATGTTTCAGCAGCAGTGGGGGGATGAGTATGTTAATGGTCCCTTCAGAAGGTTTGGATGTAAATGGACTGGATAGTGTGACGTCATGTTCTAAAAGTCAGCCTAGTGGCTGTGTGAATTTACAAACTGCCATTGGAGAGTTCTTATTTGCAATGTCCCCATTGTAAAATAATAGTAGCGGAGAATGAAGAACAATGTATACAATGCTCCTGTTTTTTTCCAATTCTGTTGTTATTATTTAGCGATCAGACATTGCAAAAGTGTGCCTGTCGTTTTGTCTGTGCAAACGACTTGACATTATCATGAAATAACATCATAATGTTCATGAAGTTGCGGGTTGTTGTCGTATCTCTGGTGTGCAGAGGCAACTGAAGATCCAGCAGCAGACTTGCTGACTCTGGAGATGGGCTTGCCTGCAGTAATGTAAAAGCAATACCTAAGGTTTAGGTATTTTAATTACATTTTCTACAGTAATGTGTTGATTTTTGTTTGAAAAAGCTGGATCAGCTCTAGATTGCAGAGAATACCTGCTTTTCAGGGCTTTATTGGAAAAGAACCAATTCCTGAGTTTGGACAATCCCATCTTCACTTCAAAGAACTGTCATTTTTGTGAAATTCTTTGTAGGATAGCTTACGAACGTGTAATAATGCATCAGTAATACTTAATGAATTTGTGCCATTGTTTTTGCGTTGGCAGGTGGTGAATCTGAAGTTGGGACACAAGGACCACATCCAATCCCATACCAGACTGTGGAGGGCCTGCAGTATCAGCAGCAGTTTGATGATGATGATCAGGGCTGGGTGTCTTGGGCGTGGTCACTTGTTCCTGCTCTGGTGAGCTATTCTGAAGAGGGAGATGAGAATTTTGAAGTCGATGAAAATGGGGCTGAAATAAATCGTCAAATATCCCAACCACCCAAGGATCCCATCGTAGCTGTGGGATTTTACTGCACTAAAGCCACCGTCACTTTTAAGGTTTGTAAGAAGTATAGCAAGCTTTTATGCTGTGTAGCTTTCAAGTGGTTTTTCACATTTATGTTTCATTTTTGTCTTGGTCAATGCTATTTGTGATTTAAGATAAAAAGACAGAATAGTGTTGTACTGTGCACGCTAGTTTCCTCCACACTACTGAGTTCCTGCTGTCAGTTAGGCGTTATTGTGGGAAGGTATCTAGATGCTGTTTTATTTGTGAGAGGGTTGTGTTCTTGGGCTAATCTTGTGGAATTATAGCCAGCCCAGATTAACATGGCAGATGCCTCTGAGTGGAGAAAGGTATTTATCAGTTAAACCAGTAAAAAGAAATAATCTTATTGCAAATGGGATGTTGATCCCATTCACTGCACGCTTGGTCAGTTGGGAGGGTTGGTTTCTCCGGTCTGCTCCACATCCCCCGCCCCAACAGCCCTACCATCGGTGGCCGGGCCTTCAGCCTCTCAGCCCCGAGGCTCTGGAACTCTATCCCCCAGTGCCTTCGCCGCCTCCTCCCTTTCCTCCTTCAAGGCCGGTCTCAAGACCTTTCTCTTTGACTGTGCCTTCAGCTCCCCTCTCGACTCTCTACCCCCTCCTCGCTCCCTCCCTTCCCTCCCTTCACCCTGACCATTTCCCCCCTGCATTTCCCCCCTGACCCAACTGTCCAGCGCCTTGGGACGTCCTCCTGATGTGAAAGGCGCTCTATAAATGAATCTTGTTGTTGTTGTTGTTTTTGCTCACTGACCGGCCTCACGCTACAAATGGCCAACTTCTGGGGCAGTGGTGCCGCTGTGACTTCCTGTCCAGGATACTGGACGTGATGTCAGTGGAGAGCTGATGACCTGGAAGTTGGCCTTTTTTTATTAAATCAAGGATACCAGCTTGCTTGCAGGAAGCAAGCCAGTTGGCTGTGCTTATGAGCAGTGAAACCAGCTATCGCGTCCTCGTTATTAGATGGGTTGGGATACTAGCCCCCCCCCAACCACTGTCTTATAATGAAGCTCCACTACATATTTTGTGCCGAAAATGTTTAGCAGTTCTTAAGAACATTTCCCACACTTTGGTTGGCAATTGTGCATCTTCTTATGCTATCAAAGCGCTTATGAAAATGCAACTCGATCCCCATTATGGTCAAGGCTTGGATAAAAACAACAACTCCTTACATTTATTGCAGCATATATATGTACGGTTCGAAAATAAAATAAAATCTTGACATTTTCTTATAGACATTGAAAACTTATGCAGCATCTTATTAATCAAATTGTTTTTAGTTGATTGAAGACAATGGATGGTGTTTGCATGTGGATTCTGGTATGAATAAAACCAAATTTATACCTGATAGTTGTTCAGAATAGAACAAGCATCATTTTGAACATTGATATTGCACTAGTTAAGTATGGTGGGATATGTATATATAAATTCACATGGAGCATTGTTGCTCCTATTCCAAAATGAAAATTCCTACAAAACATAATTACTGTGCTTTCAAATTTATATGAGGTGACTGGGTTTTTGTGAACACTCTTAAGTGGCATCTTATTGTATTTTAAATAGGTGACCAAACGTTAACTCTGTCAATGAACTATTTCTTCTCGTCTTGAAGCAAAAGGTTCCTTCGAGAAAAAATAATCTGACAAATGTTATTTATTCCATGGATTACGTTATTCACCCCGTTTGTTTAAAAAACAAAGAACAAAAATCCATGGGACCATAATTAATTTATAGGATCCCAGAACACACTGAACTTTGTAACTAAAAGCAGATGCCCTTCTTTCATTCACTTCCCTTAGCAACCAGATTGCACCTACTTAGTGCACTTCACAAGATCACAAGATTGGTTTGGATGAATGCCCTTCGGCTCATCTGATCTGCAGAACACCCACCCTTCCATCAGAGCATCAAGTTTCTTTTTAAATAGGTCCAGTGTTTTGGCCTCAATCACCCTTCCTGACAACCTGTTCTTAAAGCAGGAAACTTTAGTTAATGAATACAATGAATCTACATGGAAAAAATGCATGCACAGTAGTTATTTCATCTCCTTTCGCTTGGTTTATTCCAATATTGGGAGTAATGTGATAATTCTAACAGTTTTGTCTCTTTCTCTTCTGTTTTTCGGAGGCAGGATGACGGGAATCAGCGAAGCTTTTCATTTTCTATAAATTCAAGCATTGCCTTGTGGAAATAAACAATTAACATTTTAAAAAAAACTTGCATTTGATATAGCACCTTTAGTGTTGGGCGGACACAAAGTGCTTCACAGGATATGCTGTAAAGTGTAGTGATTGACTGTGCATTGAATTCGCCAGCCAATTGTGCACAACAATGTCTGATAAACAGCTATGAAGTGAATGACACTTTACTTGGGTGCTTGTTGGCCAGGACACCGGAGAAACTCCCTTCTCTTTTTGCATAGTTCTGTAGGAATCTTTGTCCAACTGATGAGGCAGATAGGACCTCATTTTAACATCTTATCCAAAGGATGGCTCTGAAAATTGTATTACAGCAGGGAAATCCTGGGATTGATGAGGGCACAGCAAAGAAGAACCAAATTGAATTAGGCACCTGAGTTTTGAGGAGACGACAAAATGTTTACACGAATGAAGGGGAGACGTATTTGTGAACTGATAATAAATTGTTACACTTGATATTATGCCTAATCACTTCTTCGAGATGTCTCATGCCTGATCATGTTGTTGAGATGTCTTCGTAGAATATACTCAAAAGTAGTGTGACTCTGTATTTTGTAGCTGAGTGTGGCAGCCAATTTGCACACAGCAATGTCCCACAAATAACCATGGAGTGAATGACCAATTTTTGGCCAGGACACTGGAAGAAACTCCCTTTCCTAGTATTCAAGGTTCTGAAGGGTGGAGATCAACTGAATTTCTCACTTGCCTCTCGAGTTTTCCAATTACAGCAAATGTTGATGTAATTAGATCATTCTATTGACCAGGGTTTGTGGGACATTATGGGTTTGAGGATGATATTCCGATATTCCTTCCACAGTAATGTGCTGCAGTTGGAAATTTTGCTCAAATTATTCTACATTTTCTATTTGGTGAATTGAATTCCTATTTTGTTTACACATGACTTTTGTACAAATTCCGTTTGATTGCTTTGTGGTCATCCAAACGTGGCAATTTTGCGGGTGGAACTTTAGACCGTGTAGAAACACAGAATAATTGAAGCCATACAGTACTTAATTAAATGCAGTTGAACCATTTCATCATCTTTGTTCGGTACATTTTATTTAAGTAGGAAATAATCCGAAGTCCCAATCCAATAACCTAATAATAGCTGAACCCATGAAAGCAAACTTGCATGCTGGCTGGCACACAGTGAAACAGATTACAACATTGTTTTCATTCTATTTAATTTTTGTATAGTTTCCAGTTGGAGAAGCAAACTAAATTAGAATCTAAAAAAATCTGGAACATTTGCAATTTAGTTATAAATTTGGCATATTTGAAATATTGAGGTCCTCATATAGATTACTGAAAACATTACTTACTGTTAAAATAATAATAATCCTTGTATTTGATATAATGCCTTGTCACGTGGTCGAGACGTCTCAAAAAGTGCTTCACAGAATATATTGTAAAGTGGATTGACTATATTTTTTGGGCAAAATGCAGCAGCCAAATGCGCACAGGAATATTCCACAAACAGTCGTGGATTGAGTGACCGAATTATTTTTTGGAGGGATTATTACCCCCAGAAAGCAATCTGACAATCAACTATCAGATGGGTTCCTACTTACTGTGGTAAACAGGTATGTGGAGTATGTCTCTTAGAAGCACTAATGTCACAGTGCGTTAGGAGAAAATCCTTTCACCTTTGAGATTTTAGGCTAGAAACTAGCCGGGAATGGCAGGGAAAGTTTCTGATGACTAAGGTTCTTGTTAATAAAATGTTGGCAGTCCCTGGTGAGCACAAAACTTTTGAATATGGCAGCAATTGACATTCAGTTGTCAGCCTCACTTGGAGAGGCTACAAGGGTTGGCTGGTGTGTTTACAAAAGCAGTCACTTGACAATACCTGCTGCAAAGCCCTTTGAAACCTTTGAACATAATAAGGCACTATAAATTGCAACAACTTTCTTTGGTGTGGGAAAATGAAAATTGCAAACTTTGAGGTTTGGGGTGTTCATTTGGGAATTGGACATGAGGTGGATGGAGCTTTGCTCTTTACAGCTGTGCTGTGCCTGACCTGTGAACACTTGATGCGGACACTGAGGAATTGCAGTGGCAAAAGTATTTCATTCCCCAGGGGTATTGTTTTTTTCCATCTTGATGAGCTCAGCATTTACCAATCCTCCTACCACCTCTTACAATGAGACTGTATTCCAAAAGAAACAATCAATGAATTATTTGCAATTAGCAAAACCTAATTAAATAAGTTATTTTGGTGCACCATCATTGCCACAGTTCTATTTTTGGTAAGATTACGTGAAACTTTGAAGGGTTGATTTTTCAGCCGTTCTCTTCTGTGTGGAGGCTGATCGATCAGTTAGTTGCATATCATAATAATAATAATACTTTCATTTGGTATAGTACCTTTCATGTTGGGAGGAGCTTTACAGAACTTATTGTAAAGTGCAGTGACTGTGTGTATTGTGGGCTAATGTGACAGCCAATTTGCATACAGCAAAGTCCCACAAACAGCTATGAAGTGTATGATCAGTTTCTATATTGTAAAATATTGTTACATTTGTAGTCCTAAGCATTTAACACTGAATTTTGCAGCTGGATTTTTTAAAATTAGTTAAGGCAGCACGGCGCTCTGAGGCACTACCACGCATGAGGTACACTATATAAATGGAAGTATACACTGTTGTTAAGCAGCCTAACCAGTTGAAATCGTGGAAATTCATTCTGTTGGTCTCCAGGATTAACGAGAACTATTGCAATAAAAATTTATATTCATATTGCAGCTGTCGTATGTGAAGAAAGTGTAAAATGGTATTGGTGGGGCACCCAAGCCGTGGGTGGGAGGCAAGTAGATGGGGGAAGAGAAACTTGACCGTAATGTTGTAAGGTTTACCACTTGATTTGATTTTCCATCTTGTTGAGCATTATATATTTCTGCTTTTAATAAATCTAGAAATACAGTACTTTGGAAAACATAGCATGTTTTTTAACTTGCTCGCTACATCTCTATGGGCTTCACCCACTTACTGGGTTCTGTCAGAGGTGCAAAGGTTGACTCAAAACATAAGACTGAAAACATTACAGTAAAATCAACACCATGTAATGAACCTTGATCAAAGTAAAATTACCGATGAATGTAAGTAGTTTCCTATTATTTGCCTCATCGAATTCTGTCCCACCATAAAATTACATTGAAGCAGCCCTCATCAATCACAGCCTTACTACACGCTTTGACTCCAGAAATGAAGCTCCAACATAACAGCTTTTATTTCCTTAACACAAACCTAGCGTAATTAAAGAAAAATACAGTTATTGAACTACAAAATATGTCAAACAATACATTGGATATAAGCAGTAAACGTGATAATCCCATAATGTATGCTTAAGTAATAAACTGCTTCTGTGCACTTATAAACACTTTGGACTCAGCATTTATTTAGAGCATGGGAGACGTTTATTTCCTTGTAAATTTGGAATTCTAACTTTACCGCCTGCTTCTTCTCCCTCCACTCAACCCCCCCACCACCCTCAACTCATTTACTGCTGCCTTTCAAAAAGGGTTGATGCTGATCTGCAAAAAAGGCTTTTGCCCCTTATTAAGACTTCTGCCCCTTTTAGTGGTGCACGGAGATTGCTTTGGTATCAAAGGCCAAAAAAAGTTTTTTTTTCTGTTTGCCTAATATCCAAAAAAACACAGCTATATTTGCTTTAATCATTACTGTAGTTATTTCTGGTATTGCGCCTTTCACATTGAAAGTCTCAAAAGCTCTTCACAGGATATACTGCAAATTGCAGTAACTCTGATATGTGGAAAAAAATATTTGTATTCAATAAAGTTGTCAGATTAATACTGTTGTGTAAGTAAACGTATTTTGATGTACACGGAACAGGTTGCTGAGTCTAGTCAGATAACATTGGTGGAATTTCTCTTTCTCTTTAGCTTTTATTTTCGCCCACAAACTATACAGTCAATTCACTTTGCAGTATATTCTGTGAAGCGCTTTGAGGTGTTTCGAAGATGTGATAAGGTGCTATATCAAATGCAAGGATTATTATTATTATTACTTCATAATGCACTCCTATAACTATACTGTGTAAGAACACACAAACAAAGTATAATATAAATATATTCGGCTGAATTGGTACAGTTTCTTGACGAAAATAATCTGGGTTTTGTAATTGTAATTTCAAATATTGGCAAAGATTGATTGATGCTTTTTTAGTACTTTTAGATTTTCTTTTGCGCTTTGATTGTACACAGTGGCTCTATTTGATTCTATACAATTGCTTGTTTCAACTGTAATAATTGACGTTTTGTGTTTCTTTTTACTAGCTAAGCATTCAGAGATGTCCTACATGAAGAGGGCGATATTAATTCAGGCTGTTATTGCTTTAATACATTATCTGGGAGTGATGAATACTCTATTATTAATAATAATACTTTAATCTAAAATATAACAGCATTATTTATTGATTTTGGATTGAGGTATTAGATTATTAAATTGTTCAAGTTGTCTTAAGTCAGTATAAAATGCCACACCTGGCTTGGCAGATCCATAACCTTGAACAGTGATATGTTAAAATTACATTGAGTTTAACTGGTATTATTGCATTTTGAGTTAATAAACCAAGGAATTACTGATTACCAAGTATACTTTGTTTTGCCATCCCAGCAGTGTAACTCCTACCTAAAAGATTGGGTACAGACTATGTGGGGGAGATTCCCATATGCATTGCGGCTGGGTTGGTAAAGGGTCAATTAATCATTTAATTTGTGCTGTAAATTTGTAAGCAATTTTAATCAGTACAACCCCAGCTTCCAGAAGATGAGGTTAAGTGGTAGCAATATTTGTTTTAAGAGCTATAAATTGACAGTGTGCTTTTTAAAAGTCGTGAAATTACCATATTTTGAGACTTCCAATTTGTAAGAATAACCATGTGGCAAATGCAAGCTAAAACAGTAGCTTTGCTTGTGCTGAACACTGTTTAAAAAAAAATGCCTTAATGCAAACTGCAAATAAGATGATTCAGTTGCACAAAGAAAGTATTTTGAAAAGATTGAGTTTTCAGTTTAATTTAATTTGGTTAAATAGAAATGTATTTAATTGAGAACAAATTTCCACTCTTCCCAAATACACTTGAATTTATCTTGGCGTTTTATTCTGTTTTCATTTATCATGTTAAAGGATTCCAGCTGTAATGGCATAATAATCGCAAAATATGATTAAAGTCTTGTATGGTCATGCCAGGGTTCATAAAAAATATTCGCAATTGGTCTACTTGCATAATAAGAATGTTTGCTATTCATTTACACTTGTTTTGGGGGTTTTAAAACAAATAGGGCCATATTGTAGTATGTTAGTACCAGTCCAGTGGAAGATCATGCCAAATTAATCCTACTGTTGATTTTATAATGCTTACAATTATTCTTCGAGATTTTGAGTTCCTTTAATCAATTAATTGCTTTTCCTCCAAAATAATTGCTGACAGATGAGGCTAGCCCAGTAAATAAAGAATCAGGCTCTTCGAAGGCTTTACTTTATGGGATATTAACATAGCTATGAAAATGCAATGTTTGTAATGCAAGTTGCACAACATAAGTAATGGAAATGGAGTTTCGTTGAGAGCTCTGGGTATCTCTGCCTCTATGAATGAATATTGCTCCCAGTCATAATAATATAATTTGAGATAATTGTCACAAGCAATTTAGCTCCTGGGAATTGTTTAGAATCTGACATTTTAAAAAAAAACTTCCTTCTTTTTGATTAGGATTTCTACTTGAATATCATTAATTTATAAAAAATATATAAAGTTATGAGATTTTATGAAAATATATGTTTAAAATCATGATGTTGTATGCATTTCATTCCTAAGATATGCTGCAAGCTATAGACTACAGTTTTGAAGATTTTTATGTCCTTGTATTTTTCATTGGTATACAGATACAGGTTTGACAGTGATGAAGTTATTTGACCAGCAGATGTTAAGAAATTGTTAATTTGAGAAGTTTAGCATTAACCTTGTATTGTTCAAAACATATGTCATTATCTAGATGTGATTAAATCATAGTCAACTGCGGGACCTATATCCTGATGTGGATAATAAGTTACAGCTGCTTTTTTCTGCACCTGTTTCCTGTGCAATAACAGAATTTGGTTGAAACTAAAAGATTAATTTGTCTGCAGCAATTTTGTACATTAAAATGACAGATTACTACTATTTATTGCTAATATACAATGTGTTCAAAATGAGGTATTTGTCATTTTGTTACAGTTGACAGAAATGCAAACTGAAAGCAGCTATTACAGCCCTCAGAAAGTGAAATCAAAAGAAGTGCTTTGCTGGGAGCAAGAAGGGACTACTGTTGAGGTACTATTTAATATTATTTGCCTAAAGTAGAAGTGAAGCTTTCTGTGGCATGACCTTTCTATTCACCCAGTTAATTACTACTATTAGTACAATATGGCCATTGAAATTTTTTTCAACAAAAAATTAGTCCTTGGATATTAAACTATTCTTATAGTCTCATAAATTAAAACGTGTACATTACAAAACACAAATGAGCTGTAACTGATAGTAATGGTGGGATTAGCTTGACGATTTGCTGATGCATATCCATTTTATGAACTGACAAATTAAGTGCAGCAGAAGTCGCTTAATGGGAGTCTGACTGTGCCAAGCAAAATGTTCTTAATATCCATTTGTTCCCATCAAGCAAAGACCATTAAAAGTATGTGCAAGGGATCTCGATTGGCAGTAATGTGTCCTGGAAGTGGCCAAGACTGAATCCATTACCCCTATCGAACAGCAGGTTTTTATTTAGTTGAGATAAGAGGTTAACTCATTGAACTTTATCATCAGATCTGCACCCACCATAAAATAGTAATGGAACTGATTTTGTACACCCTTACATAGTTAGTTACTGCTAAGCATTGCAGAAATCCTGATCAATACTAATCACAAACATTCACGATGTGCAAATGGGAGTCACGCTGTCTCTTTGGTTTAAATTCTTATATATCCTAATCTGATAATTGATCAACTGGATCATTGGATTAGCACCTGCCAAAAAAGCAGCCGCCTCACTCAAAGCTGTTCCTGTTTATACGTTGTAATGAAGCAGTTTCCCATTTAACATTTATGGGAAACTTGTGCTTCAGTAAACACTCCCATTAACAAGATGTACTCTATTAATCTGTACCAAGACGAGCTGTATCTTGTCTATTGCCAGTTGGCGGAGATTTNAAAAAAATAAACTGGTGTTTTTACTGGATGGTTTGTGACTTGCTCCAGTTACAGAGATACTTCCGTGGGGCATATCCATTTGAAGTGCTGATTCCAAGAGGCTGACCCCATCAAATGCTGCTTATTTCAATTTTCTGAGGAAGCCTTTTTTGTATATAAAAGAATGCAAATGACAATTGGAACCCCAAGTTAATAAACTTCTTATAATGCGGGTGCTTATAGTACACCCGTAGTGTGAACCCCATGACGCACAGCCAGCTGTGCTCAGAGAATGCACAAAATGATGGAATATCCCCTCCTTAACTATCACCTTATAATAAGACTCCACTGTAGTTACTCTTGTGATAACAGTATTAATCCTTGCACTTGATACAGCACCTTATCACGTCGTTGGGAAGTCTCAAAGCGCTTCACAGAATATATTGTAAAATTGGATTGATTGTATTTTGTGGGCGAATCGCACAACAATGTCCCACAAACAGTCATGTAATGAATGACCAATTTTTTGGGGGGATGTTGGAAGTGACCTGCCAATCGACTAAAAAACGGGTTCCTACTTACTGCTAGGTAAACAGAAGAGTGTGCAATAAGGAAACTTGCCCAAGATTCACCCTGCTCACGAATCGAACCCAGGTCCTCTCCTTGCGAGGCAATAGCATTAACCATTACGTTATAGGACTCCATGATATAAAGGAGCTGAGGTGGTTGTTGGTGTTTTGTCTCCAAGAAAAGAAAAGCTAGAGATTTTAGCATGTCTGCATTTAGCATTTACTTGCTACATTTCCTGATTGCTTCTCAAGGTTCTGATTATGGGAGAGCCTTTCTTCAATTGTCAGATGGGATTTGTGAGCTGCAGAGCATTGTGCCTTAAAGGAATAATGGGTTTAAAAGACTTTGAAGAAAATATGAACAGAAGTGAAATTGTAAGTAAACAATGTGCGGTGTTTTGTTAAATTGGTTGAGTTGTGTGCCTGAGTGTGCATGTGTGTGTGTGTGCGAGCGACTCCAGTTTACATCCGTTTGTGTTTTTGTTATAATTCAAATGTGCTTAATGTAGTCGGGGATTGTATTTCACCTTTGTTTTTTCTTCTGGTGCTCGGGGTCAGAAGCTGTTGACCTCGCAGTGCACAAAATCAAATATGTGCTCAACCCAATTTGAAAATTGCTTTGCAACTGTTCTGAACCATCTGCTCTTTGGTGGAGAAATTCAGCTTGCAATCTTGCAGATTTTTAAGCCACCTGGGAGAATTTCTCACCCCTCTCTCTGTCTGTCTTCAAGTCCCTGCCTTCAAACTTATATCTTCGACTTTACTTTGAAGATGTCCTCCTGATGTGAAAGGCCCTAAATAAATAATAATAATCCTTGCATTTGATATAGTGCCTTATCGCATTGTTGAGACGTCTCAAAGCGTTTCACAGAGTATATTGTAAAGTGGACTGACTGTGTATACTGTAGGCAAAATGTGGCACTCAATTTGTGGGACACAGTAGTATCCCACAAATAGTTGTGGATTGAGACACAAAATTTGTTTTTGAGGGATTATTGTCCCTGGAAAGTGAACTGCCACTCGACTAACAACCGGGTTATTGCTAATTAAATAGAGGTGTATGGATTAAGGATGTATCATGAGCTGGAGCGGGAAAAGGGGTTGGGTGTGTGTGTTGATCAGTCACCAAATGTCTCCAGTCCATGCTCTCGGGAGCGCTTCACACGGCGGTTACTGTGAAGTGCGGTGACTGTGCTTTTGTAGGTGAATTTCATGCGGCGCAATGTCCCGCACACAGCCATCCCATGGAGTCCTGTAGCTCAGTGGTTAGAGCACTCGCTTTGCAAGCGAGAGACCTGAGTTTATTTCCAGGCAGGTCAGGGCGAAACCTTGGGCAAGTTTCCTTACTCCACACAGAGCCTAATAATAATCCCTCCAAAACCAAAAAACAATAATAAATTGGTCATTTTCAATCTACGACTGTTTGTGGGACATTGCTGTGCGCAATTGGCTGCCGCGTTCGCCCACAAATATACAGTCAATTCAATTTACAGTGTGTTCTGTGAAGCGCTTTGGGACGTCCTCCTGACGTGAAAAGCGCTATATCAAATGCAAGGATTATTATTATTATTATTAAGATGCTGTCAGCAAGGTGAGACCTGTACGAGGTTCTGTCTTTGAGGGGATTTGACAAAGAGTTTAATTAAGTTATTATAGAGCTCACTGGTGAGATCAACTTTGGATACTGTGTACAGTTTTGGGATTTGAAGCATTGGAGAGGGTTCATGCCAGAGCCAATAAAATAAATTTACTGCAGGGATTCAAGCTGTTAAATATAAGGGGTTCTCTTGGAGTTTCATAGCCTGGGGGTGGATGGGGGAGTGGAGATGGTGATCCAAGATTCAGAATTTTCAAATGAGAGAGAGATCTGGAGAATGTAGATCGAAAGCAGACTGTTCCCCTTCACAGAACTTTAAACTGTAGGTTTAAAAAGAACAGGATTCTCAAATGGAGATTAAAATAAATATTTTTCCACTGAGCAGTGAATTTGCCCCATAACACGATCGTAGGATTATAGTGATAGGTGCCGACTTGCATGAATCAAAAAAATCTGCAGGACTTGAATGGTGCACTTAGGGGAGGGAGGGTATTTTATATGTTGAAGTAAATCAGATTTCAATGGTGGAAATGTGAGAGTGAATAAATATTGTGGGTTTTCGCTCGAGTAAGTTTGTTATCAAGGAGTATCTATGCCGGATATTTCCCCAGCAGTCAATGAGTTCAAGTTTATGATGAACTAGATTTTGCATGTTTTTTGCAGTAAGTTTTAATAATAATAATAATCCTTGCATTTGATATAGCGCCTTATCAAGTCGTTGAGACGTTTTAAAGCGCTTCACAGATTATACCGTAAAGTGAATTGACTGTGTATTTGGTGGGCGAAACGCGGCAGCCAATTGAGCACAGCAATGTCCCACAAAAAGTCACGGATTGATTGGCCAAAATTATTTTAAGGGATTTATTACCCCCAGAAAGCGATACGCAAATTGACTAACAACAGGGTTCCTATTTACTGTTAGGTAATTAGAGGTGTGTGGAGTAAGGAAACTTGCCTAAGGTTTTGCCCTGCTCAAGAATCGAACCCTAGTCCTGTTGCTTGCGAGGCGAGTGCTGTACCACTACGCTACAGGACTCCTAACAGGCTACATTCTGTTCTGTTGTTCATTGCTTTATGTTTCTTGCTTCACTAATGCAAATAGAAGGATCAGAAGAGAAAAAGTAGGATTAGAAGTGGAGCTAAATGGCGAGGCATTTGCTAAGACAATCCAGGTCAGCTGATGTATTGTGCCTCGCTGGTCTGGTCCTACGATAAAGAGAGAGCCGAGTTTAAGAAGTTTAGTTTAGAAAAAGATTTTTTTTGTTTTAATTTTTAAAAAAATCATCCTTTTAAAAGTGAGAAACTGGAGCTGTCTGCACCACCCTCAGGAAATGATCTGCCTGGAGTTTTAAATTAAAACCTAACTATTGTATCTTTTTTTTAAGGAAGCGTGTTTCTTCAGCTGTGGTGAAAGTCTGAACAGTAAAGGATTAACATACCTTACCAATTCTCTGTTTGATTACCGAAGCCCAGAAAATAATGGAGTTCGGGCAGAGTTTATTTTGGATGCTGCTCAACACAAGGTCAGATCATTACTGAATCAAAATTCTATACTGGATTGAGGCTGTGGGTCTTCTGAAGCATTGATTTTTCAATACAAAGCAACATTTTTTAAGCAAAAAAAGCTCAATTGCTGTTGATTTTCAGATTTGCTACATTCAAGTACACAAAAGCTTATTAAAATTACAACAAATAGCCACATTTTCCAAAGCAAAATAGCCAAATTTACTGGAAGAGCTTAAACTGATAGTAATTTGGTTTTGTTATGCTGGCACAAATTACTTGCTGTGTTTGCTTACATAATAGTCACTAACGTTTCAAATTAATCCACTAATGTGAAGTGCTTTGAAGGAAGGACTTTAATGTGATAAGGTTTTTCATCAAATTGTAACTATTATATCCTCAAAAGCAACATTGAAAGGCATTGAGTTTGCAGTGGAGTTCTCAATAGATAAAAATACTAACAATTAAAACGTTACTTAAAAACCTGTGTTTCCTGTGTATGTAAACCTCCTGCATAGTTTAATCGGGTGTTTAAATATATTTAAGGCAACTATCTGATTTTGTTTTAATTCATTGCGATGACTATGATACTATGAAATCAATGATGATGATGCCATAGCCAGGCTGTTTAACAACAAGTATTTGTTCATGATGTTCAGAAGCCATTTTACTTAATATCTTATTGCCTTACAAGCAATTTGCAAAAGTGAACCAACATTAGATATTAACTGGATGAAATGGTGGTTTAAATTGTATGTCCCTCTTGTGCTTGGCCTTTTAATAGCAGTCGTGTTACCTGTCTGGAAGAATGCTTCAGATAACCTCTGTTCTCTTTCAGCGATAAGCCTTTGTGTAAAAGCCTATGCAAATACAAGGAGACATACATAATATAGTGTTGTTATCTCTAGATTCCATCCTTTTGGAACTTATGTTCTATTTGTTCTTCTTTGTTGGCAGGAGACGTACACAGAGATAGCTGGTGTACAGCGCTTTGGGGCCTTCTACATGGATTACCTGTATACAATGGAGTGCAGTAATGGCAAGGGTATTACTTTATTTTCTCACATGTTTGCTCCCCTTGAACAACACAAACAAAAGCTTCTTCTTAGCCACCTGGTCCTTGACCTCCTGCCCTGTCCTTTACTTCGAACTGACCGGGGGAACCTGACTGGGTTATTTTGAATGTATAGTAAACCTTATACAAGTCGTATCAGTTGGAACCATACATTGAATATGACTTATGCAAAAAATAAGTTATGTTAAAATTGCATAGAATACACAGTCCACAAATATTCGCCCACAAATATACAGTCAGTTCACTTTACAGTATATTCTATGAAGAGCTTTGAGACATCTAGAAGACATGAAAAGCGCTATATCAAATGCTAGGATTATTATTATGTAGGATATAAACACTTGAACGGCACTCGGGCAGATGTACGACTTAGGCGTTTATAGGATGTATACAGATTCTGGAGAAGAATAGATAAACTTGACTGCTGAGTATTTAATTGGAATTTTTGTCTTTTTGGTGGTTCCCAGATAAATTTAATTAATTAGTGGTCCTTAGGTTTCCATGATATAAATACCTATGTGACACATAAAATAACTTGAAAGTTATTGTTCTGATACTGGTTATTCTTCGTATCTGAAGATGGGAGTTCACACATTGTGAATATCTCAGTGCATGAATTTGCTGCCACACAGCAACCACATTCTTAGATAGCAAATAGTGTAACCTGATGTCAAGGAATATCCGAGCAGAGCAGACCACTTCCTAACCGCACTGGCAGAAACCATTACCCCCAGAAAGCGATCTGCCAATCCACTAAAAACCGGGTTCCTACTTACTGCTAAGTTAACAGCAGTATTTTTCTTATATTAGCCTAATTTTAAATATAGTTCTACTGAGCTGCAGGGAGGAGAGAAAGTGGGAGATCTACAGCTTCTAAAATCTCAGTTGTTCTTGTTCATAGTACTCCGAATAGTCACCAAAAGGCAAATTGATAACTTGGGATGCTTGTATGTAAACCAGTTACTGTCTTGTTCCTCATTGTGAGGTCTTTGTTCTTGTCTTGGAAGCATACCACAGTACTGTTATTACACTATTTTGGAACCTTTTTGCAGCCACATTTGGAGCTTGTCCAGTTTTTGTAACTAATACCTAAACAGGATTTCAGTACAAGTAAAGTTGTGTACGCATTACTTTAAGTCTTATGTTGTACAAATTCAGTCAGCGAAACAAAATTGGATATCTTCCACGCAGTTTCATTCACTCATAGCTTGTTGCTCCAAAACCGCAGGCAGGATCTGGTGTTGTCATTTATCTCGAATGGTTCCTCAGGAGTCCAGGATGTTGACAGGGGGCACTGCATCAGCCAGTGTTCAAGTGTTTGCCTTTGGCTCTCCCCATTCACATCTGGGCTTGTTTCTCAGCTTCCACTTGGTCACATTGTCACCAGTCTTTGTCAACCCAGCTCTCCCTCGATTTATATAGAAACATAGAAATAGGAGTAGGCCATTCAGCCACTTGAACCTGTTCCGCCGTTCTATAAGATCATGGCTGATCTGTGCCTCAAGTCCTTCGCCCCGTATCTCTTCATACCCTGATCCAACAAATATTTTTGTTAGGGTACACCAGTGTTTTCTTTGGAGGTCAGTGGCTAGAGGGAGTGTTTCGTGAAGGAACCAGGCTCACCCAAGATCATTGGCATTTCCTGCTGTTTTGTTACACTGTAGGCTTCTACATGGTACTTTTGGGGCAAGGGATTATCAGAGGCAAAGCTCTTTCTGGGCTTCAGCCTCTTGGGAGGTGGAATGTGTCAATGCAGTAGATGTCTAGGAACATATACCTGTATTTGTGTCTCCTTTTTACTGAAGCCATCCTGCCTGACTGATGCTGGTGTAATCACCGGGAGCGACAGGGTGGGAGTCCCCGTGATGTTCCCTCAGGATTGATTGAGTTTATCATCAATTTGGTGTGCATCGGCTAGAGCATGACCATATTGGAGCACAGTGCTCTGCAGATGGGTAATACAGGGCAAGACTGGATACTTGGAGTGTTTTGGGGTCAGCTCCCAATTTTATTTTGGCCAGTTTCTACAGTTCTGTAGCTCCTGTGTGGAGTCCTGTAGCTTAGTGGTTAGAGCGCTCGCCTTGCAGGCAAGAGACCTGGGTTTGATTCCTGTAGGGTGAAACCTTGGGAAAGTTTCCTTACTCCACATGCCTGATAATAATCCCTCAAGAAAAAAACAATAATGATTTGGTCACTCAATCCACGACTGTTTGTGGGATACTGCTGTGCGCAATTGGCTGCCGCATTTCGCCCACAAATATACAATCAATTCACTTGACAGTATATTCTGTGAAGCACTTAGGTTAATATATTATTCATAATGAAGATCGTTTATAATGAAGATTGTACCATCACATGTTATCTGGTACAGTTTTTGCTTGACACACCAATAAGTATCAGGGCCTGACAGGAAAAACATCCGTTTAGCTCTACTCTCTGTTTCCTGTCCTTCAACCACTTTTCATGTCGGGAGGACATCTCAAAGTGCTTCACAGGATTTACTGTAAACTGTAGTGAGAGCTTAATACGTAAGTGAACATATACCTTTCCAGTAAATCTCGTGAAGCGCTTTGAGATGCCTTGACGGCCTGCTAAGGTGTTATATCAAATCAAGGATTATTGTTATTATTGCTTCCCTTGCAGTGCTATCTATTGTCTTAACATTTGCGTCAGTTAAAAATATGGAGGAAGCTTTTTTTTGTGCTGTTGTTTGTTTTGAGTAGCAGCAGTAAGATAATACTGAGACGGTAGATTCTAAGAGGGTTATGTCAATATGAACTGAGGTGATAATAGTTTCCTGTTCGAAAGTTTATTTTGTCAGATAGTCATCTCTTGTAAATTATTTTTATCTGTTGAAGACCCTTGCAGACATCCCAAGGCTGCTTTTTCAGAGTGCTAATAGGTTTGATTATGATAAATTTAAGAATCGTCAATTAGAAGTGACTTTTTTGTTGTTCCGATTGTCCTTGCTGCCACTTGCAGTTGTTCCAAATTGTGTTTACATATGGACTTGGAATGAAACTGCTGCACTCCTCTCGTGTCAACGAAAAAAGAATTGACAGTGGATCAATTGGGCATTGGATTACTTAACATTGTTGGCATCTGCACAATATAATAATAATAATCCTTGCATTTGATATGATGCCTTATCACGTCTTCGAGACATCTCAGTGAGCTTCACAGAATATACTGTAAAGTGAATTGACTATTTCTTGGGCAAAATCATTAAACCATTTAATGAGATAGTATATTTTATTAACTTTGTTTCAGAAATAAGAGCTTTGAAATGAGACTGATCGGAATCAATGAGGTTATCTGTACCACACACAGCATGAAGTAGTTGAAGTACCTTTAAGAGTGACATTTTTAGTGAGCAGTTTCATGCACTATGTACTGTTGAATTTGCACAGCCTACAATTGCAGAGCACCAGTAGGTTTCCTGCTGCTTGTCCAGTTAGGACCACCCTATCCATAAGACAGCGTCATCTGGAGACACGTGGGAAGAATCCTGGTGACTGATCTACTCCAAGTCCTGCCGCTGAGCTAGCCTGGCTGATATATGTGTATATCTATATATATATATATATATATATATATACACAATTCATAAACTTCATATGGTACTTCATATAGTACTCTCCCTCAATCCCTCAGCCTTGCACATCTTCAGATCACGCGTGAAGTTCTTCCTCTTCAACCGTGCCTCAGGCACCTTCTCCCAGCTCGGCAATGTGCTCCGTCACTGTCGAGCACTCTGGGACGCTACCCAGCATGAGGGCCACTGTTGTTACTGCTCATTCACATAATGATTGAATCCAATGACTTGTTGTGAATCATTTTGAACTTGACTTTATTCTAAGGAAGGTGAACGTATACCCTGAACATCAGTTCAATCTGCATTTTTCCCCAAACATTTTATTTTTTATTCCCTATAACTTTTACACAAACACAATCGCAGTCGAGAGTCTTCTCGTCTTTTTACAAATGAGCTTTTTTTTAAAGAAAAGTCAATCTGATATTGAATTGTTATCTGGGTGTTCCTAGATTCAGGAGGTCAACAGCAGGATGCTCCCACAAACAAAAATGAAAATACGAGCGGCATGCAGGAGATATCCACCAAACGCCTGGTGGTGGGTCCAATGGCACTTCACCTGGACAGCAGCTCGGTTCATAGAATGTTGAAGATGGTGGCATGTGGTTTGGACCATGAATATGAACCATACAGCAAGCCCAATCCAGGTAGATACAGTCATGCGCTTGTCACCTTTGCAACATTTCAATCAGAAGTGTTTTTCAGAGTTTTGGATGGTTGGGTATCAGCTTGGTTCAGTTCGTAGCACTCTCATCTCTGAGTCAGAAGCTTGTGGGATCACAACAACACAACAACAACAAGATTCCATTTATAGAGCGCCTTTCACGTCAGGAGGACGTCCCAAGGCGCTGCACAGTTGGGTCATGATCACGGCACACGTCAGGACTTGGAGCTCAAGTTGTCTAGGCTGACAGTCCGGTGAAGTTCTAGGGGTGAGCTGCATTGTTGAAAGTGCCAGCCTTTTGATGAGATGTCAAACCAAGGTCCCATCTGCCTATTCAGACGTTAAAGATCTCATGGCACAATTTGAAAAGGGAAGGGAGTTTCTCCCATTGTCCAGGTCACCAATCCCCAATAAGATTGGTCATTCACTTTATGACTGTTTGTTGATGCGTAATATTGGTTGTGGCATTTGCCTACAAAATACATAGTTATAACACTTCACGGTAAATCCACCTGCCGTGAAAAGGCGCTACATTAAATTCAAGGATTATTTTATATGTCTGAAGACTTTTTTTCGGAGCCTCTCTTGTGATCTTTTAAATCTTCTATGTTACCAACTCAGTTCTTCAACAGAGATGATTTCCAATATTCCTGTTGCTCACCATCCAAAATTTTTGATTGGTTCTGATTGAATTACCGCACTGCTTTGCAACTGTGTGTGCGTGTACATGTGAGCGTGTACGTATGTGTGAGCGTATGTGTGTGTGTGTGCGTGTACATGTGTGTGCATGCATGTGTTTGTGCGTGGGCGTACGTGTGTGTGCATAAACGTGTGCGTGTACCTGTGTGTACGTATGTGTGCGCACGTGTACGTGTGTGTGTACGTGTGTGGGTGTACGCGTGTGTATGTGTGTACCCCCACATGCGTGTGTGTTATACTAAGTTTCAAAATCTCCTTACTTTCATTCAGAACTCTGCAGCTTGTGTACTGTCCCACACCAGGCTTCGCGACCACTTCACTCCCACCCTCGCTCGCCTTCACTGGCTCCCCATCCCCCAGAGGATCGAATTCAAGATCCTCATCCTCACCTACAAGGCCATTCACGGCCTCGCTCCCTCCTACCTCTCCGACCTACTATCCCCCTACTTACCTGCCCGTACCCTCCGTTCCTCTGGCTCCATCCCCCGCCCCAACCGCCCTACCATCGGTGGCCGGGCCTTCAGCCTCTCAGCCCCTAGGCTCTGGAACTCTATCCCCCAGTGCCTTCGCCTTGCTTCCTCCCTTTACGCCTTCAACAACAACAACAACAAGATTCCATTTATTGAGCACCTTTCACGTCGGGAGGACGTCCCAAGGCCGGTCTCAAGACCTTGCCTTCAGCTCCCCTCTCGACTCTCTTCCCCCTCCTCACTCCCTCCCTTCCCTCCCCTCACCCTGACCATTTCCCCCCTGCTCGGGTCCCGACCCAACTGTCCAGCGCCTTCGGACGTCCTCCTGACGTGAAAGGCGCTCTATAAATGAAATGTTGTTGTTGTTGTTGTACTTTCATGGCTTACTCATCCTTTATCTTTATCATCTTACAGAAATTGTGGATGAGAACAGAACACTGCCAAGCCCAGAGGAGATAGCTGCTTTAGAAGAGTACATCCCAACAAGATTAACATGTGTTACTATTTTAAAAAGTACTATTACTGTCACTCTGGCTGAGTTCAATCTGTTGGACAGCTTACTTCCTATAATTTTAGGCCGCAAGGTAATACAATTTTTTTTCAAAAAACTCTCCTAGATGCTACTCTGCGAGAGGGGCACTATATAAATGTAAGATATTATTAATACATGACTCTCAGAATTAATTGGTACTTTGTTAAATACGTTCAAGCCTTCTAGTTTTTTCACTTTTTTATTATTATTTATCCCTGTACAGGTCAGACCAGGACATATGACAGCATGTTGTTGTTGAGTTTGCACTTCCACCACGCTGCATGCAATTGGTTTTGTAAAGCATGTAATCTTCCCTCCACCCCCCAATACTCCCCATTTTTTAAATGTTGACCCAAGTTTCTATTCTTCATGGTGTCCCTAGACAGGGAATGCATTTGCATGTCTATGCACTTTGGGACGTCCCCACAATGTGAAAAGCGCTGTATAAATGTAAATTGTACCGTATGTCAGCAGGCTATTCAACAAACGATTTGTCTCCCAAAGGGTACATACCATCACAAATCATAGCTTGCAAATGAGAGCATCATCGCTGAACCAGACCTTGTCCTTATTTGAATTCCACACACGCACTCTTTTCCAGCTGGAGTGGCTGGTTAATGCTTGAGAAGTAAAATCAGGCTGATCCTTTTCTGCCTCCAGCACAGAGAGACTGAATTAAGTAAATTCTAATGCTTTCAACAACAACTTGCATTTATATCGCACCCTTCACATCGGGTAGCATCTCGGGAGTGCCTGATTTCCCTGCTGCTCTGCTGAATTGGCTGATTTTGCACTGACCAAGAGATCATATCTGAGAACTTCCTGGTCTGTCTGAATCAATAATTGAATTTACCCACAGAACCGTGGTCTACGCATGGAAATGCCAAAATATTCCCCTGATAAAATCAAAAGATCCACAAAGTTCAAAATGTTGTTACAGTTGGGATTACTAAAGAGTACTTTTATCGAAGTATGTTTGTGAGAGTGACAACTTGGAAGAAAGTTTTTTTGGAGCATTTTAGAATTTATTAACTAGGAAAAATAAAAGTGCCTTCGGTCTCACAACGGCACCACTCATCACCAAGTAAGTGTAGCATAATTTGTACCAGCAACGACAGCAACAATTAGCATTTATTGCGCCCCTCACATAGGGTAGTGTCCCAGAGCACGTAAACTAATGTTGATTGCTGTTGTTTCCCAAAGGGTACATACCATCAAAAATAGGTTTGTATTTGTGTTGCGAGACGCTATCCTACGTATTGCACTATTTAAATACACGTTGTTGTTTCTTTTTCAAAAAAACAAACGTAACTACTGATTTAAGTGCCTTGGATGGAATATATTGTAAGTTCTTAGTTGATTTTTGCCATGTATGGAAATCAGACTTACTTTCCTCTAACCACCCCTTCCAATACAATTATAAATGTTTTATTCTCCCAGGCTTCAACATCTAGCATAAACACAACACGTTTCCAGCTATTGCGACCCCTTCCCGCTCTGAGGATTGAGGTGGACAAGGTCAGTCTAGAGCATTCGGTGCCAATGTATGCTGGACAACTTGTGCCTGCTGTCAGCAGCGTTAGCCAGCCCTCCGACAACCTTCTACACCACTGCTACGCACACTGTTATGTTAAGGTAATGACTTATCCGACTCATGTATTTTACAGTTATTTTGTTTCATAATGGACATGCCAGATGTTGCACTGATTTGTTTACTACAGAGATGATGGGCTCTAACTACATAATACTACTTGAGTACCCTAGGGAACCAATGTTTAAAGCATATTACCTTTAGTAGATCCCTGTTATAAAGTGTTTTGTGGTAACATGTGTTTATGTACAGTACAATTTGGCTCTGTCAGTTACTTACTCCCCAAAATCCAAAATGTGTGCATCGCCTCCATTGGCACTTCAAACGGCAGAGGATGTGGGGGAAGTCAAAATGGCCGACTGCCAGGTCATTAGATCACCACTGTCTACCTTCCTACGTGTTGTGCAGAATACGGAAAATGACGTCAGCAGAGAAGCACATATTTTAAAATGAGATCTAAGGCAGTAAGACATGAGATATTTTTTACTCACTCAGGGTGCTGCAAATTTTGTGGAGGCCTGTAGCTTAGTGGTTAGAGCACTCGCCTCGCAAGCGAGGACCGAGGTTCGATTCCCGGCAGGGAGAAATGTTGGGCAAGTTTCCTTACTCCACACGCCTCTGTTTACCTAGCAGTAAGTAGGAATCTGGTTGTTCGTCGATTAGTGAAATACTTTCTCAGGGTATATTAACTCCTTCAAAATATATCAAAATAATTTGGTCACTCAATCCACGACTGTTTGTGGGACACTTCTGTGCATGCTGTGAAGTGCTTTGAGACGTCTTGAAGACGTGATAAGGCGCTAAATCAAATGCAAGGTTTATTATTATTTGGAACACCCCCCCCCCCAGAGGCTAGAGGCAGGACTAATTTTTGGTGTTCAAAAGGGAGATCGATAGATCCTTGAGAAGTGGGGGTATGGGGAAAATACACGGAAATGGGATTAAAAGATCTGCCAGGATCTAATAAAGGGGTGGAACAAGTTCAGTGGGTCTCCTGCTCTTACATTTCTACGATCCAGGGCAACTTTCAAATGGGTAAAAAGTTGTCTTTTTGTGCTTCGCTCATTCGCATTTATATAAAATTCACACCTTGACTGTCTGTGGGAATTAGCTGTATGCAAATTGGCTGCCGCAATCGCCTACAAAGTATACAGTCACAACACTTTACTTTGATATGTCCTCTGGACAAGAAATGCAAGGAATATTTTAACACCATTACAATTGTTTCTCAGTCAATTCTCTGACAGGTATACTTGACCATAATAGCAAGGTTCTCCTGAAGTATCTTTTTGCCAAAATCTGGGTTAATGTTGTTGTTGTTAATGTTCGCTCTAGAGGATTTGAGGTGTGGTTTCTGCAGACTTTGTTTCCTACTGCGAGTGCTGGTTGATTCACTTGAAATGCAAGTCAAAGCCCAGCGAGTGGGGTGGTCCTAGCTGGACAAGTGATAAGGGGCTATATATGTCTGGCAGCAGGAAAGTTTGCCAGACAGTGACATCAATGGCAAGCTATGCAGTTTTAGACTCCAGGAGTTACCCCAGCAACACACACTCTGGGGTCCCCAAGCTTCGGCTCTTGCCAACCTGCACCTAATACTTTCCGGAATTGAGTAAGCAGAGTGCGTCCCTCCATGGAGAGTGCGCATTCCATTCCAACAATCTATCTCTGAAATTTCATGTGTACATGGGATGCAATTCTCAGCTTGGTTTAGATACTCTTAAGAATGTGATGAGTTTCTGAATGTGTCAGATACCTGGCTGATCAAAAAAAAAATCGCTTGCAATAAAAGGAGACTTGGTGACGTTTGTTGTCTTGATGGTTCATGATATTTCCTCTTTTATATCCTGGATAAGAATGTGAGATAGGAAATAATTTTGAAAGTAGGGACTGCCCACCCTGCACTGTCTTCATCCAACAGAGCAAGTTTCCCCCTGTTGTGCTTTGTCTGCAATGTCAGTGAAGTTTGGAAAATGTCTAACACAAATAAAGAGAAAAAAAATTCTACACATGGCAACAGTGTCTTTCAGTCTTCTTTATTTTCATTTGGAATTTCTTCAGAAGGTACGTAAGGGAGGGAATGGTGGGAGGGAATGGTGAGCCAACTGTATCGAGGGGTCAGTAATGATTATTTTGGGTGCACCGATGCAGAAGTGGGGTCATGATGTGCACTTGACTTGCCTTTGGATCATAAAGTTGAGTTGAAATTGAGGTGGTTTGGTGTTCTGAACATTTACTATACAAACCAGTTGTCAGAGCTGCCCCTGTTTACAAGTGATCCCTTTATATTTTTTATATAAATGCAATGGTACTTTGGAATGAAACACTGCGGCATTGTTCCCAGCAAACCGCTGGTATAAATTTAGGAGCAGTTAAATTAGAAAGATTGCATGCAACTAATCTTAGCACTGCAGTCGGTCGTGCTGAATGAGGTAGCAGCTTATTTTATCCAGAAGTACGGTCATATAATACTTGGTAGTTTCTTGTTTCGAAGAAGGATCCTTGCAAGTGTTATTAATCTCAAATCAAATGCTCTCTTGCCCCCTTCTCCAATTTGTTAAACCATGCTGAATTCTAAATAATAACTATAACTTGTCGTCCTTCCACATAACATTGTCTCGATAAATTAAACTCACAGATTTTATTGAGAGCACAGTTACCTGTGATATCTTGTAGTCTGGATGAAATGTTGTTTAAATCACAAAACCTTCACTGCTGGATTTAAACCAAACCAAACTTCCAAAGTTGAAATGTTTTGCCCATTGCTGGTTCGCTTTTAGTACAGTAATGAAATGAGGAGATTAGGATGCAAAGAGTGTGGTCAGTGGCTTTTTCCGTGGCAGGCTGATGAGCATATAATGTCAGTAGCTGTGAGTCTTCTGAAAATTTTTGTCTGCTTTTCATAGAAACGTGAGTAATCGTGTTTACATGGCTGGAGGAGAGGAGTGTCCTTGTATCTAACATTAGCAACATGTGAATGCATTCAAAAATGGACGGATTCCTGTTGACATTTCAAGTATGCTCCATGTATAATAGTCTTATGTACGAAAGGCTTCTTCAAGTTTTTAAGCGACAGGGTTTGAAGATAAATAAAGAACTTATCGGAAAATAGGAACAAGGAGTTGGCCATGCAACTCCTCGAACCTTATTCCTCCATTCTATTAAATCCTGGCTGATCTGTTCCTCAACCCTATTTACTTGCCTTTTCTCCATATCCCTTGATACCTTTATCAAACAAATATCTCATCGACCTTAGACTCAAAAATTCCAATTGACTGAACATCCACTGCCTTTTTGGGGAGAGAGTTCCAGATTTCCACGAGCCACTTTATGAAAAAATAGTTCCTGATTTCACTCCAAAATGGCCTAGCTCTAATTTTAAGATTATGCTCCCTCATTCTGGATTCCCCCACCAGAGGAAATAGTTGCTCTCTATCCAGTGCCTTTATTATTAAAACACCTCGATTATATCACCCCTGAACCATCTCAACTCTAGGGAATACAGACCAAGTTCATCCCTGGTATCATTCCTATGAACCTGCTCTGTACCCCTCCTGGGCCAATATATTCCTAAGATGCGGAGCCCAAAACTTAACTCAGTGTTCCAAGGTTCTGACCAACTGAAACACATCACTTCCTCGCTTTTGTATTCCAGCCCCTTGAGATAAAGGCCAACACTCCATTAGCCTTTTTGATCGTTGTCTGTAACTATTCACTTGGTTTTATTGACTTGTGTCCTCGGTCACTTAAATCCCTTTCCTCCTCGTCTTTCACTGTTAAGAAAATATCTGGCATTCTTGGATTCAATATTGAGTGTTGGCTTTGAGCTCAAATGTCAATGTTGGACGCAAGAGGAACTCCCTTCTCTTTTCAAATAGAGGCCATGGGATCTTTAACGTGGGCCTGAACAGACCTTTCTGATAGAGGAAACCATTACGTATTTCAGCGCTCTGAGACACTATCCTGCATGAAAAGCGCTAATCCAGTGCAAGTTGTTTTCAAAAAAAACTTTGCAAAAGAGAAGTTGAGTAACTAACGGTTGTAGTTACAGGTTTTATTCTTGCTCAGAAAGAAAACCCCAACATTTAAATAGGCACATTCTATTCTGCTTAATTTCTGTTTATATAATATGTTTATGACAATGGGTGGAACACATCAAAGCTACTTTCTCAGGTTTAGTGTTTTAGGTACGTTTTGAAAATCAAAATGCTTCCCTGGACAGGGAGTAGATACAGTCCATGCTAATTTGGATGATATTTGTGTATTTGCCAGCAATTTAGAGACCAGATAATCGATCATTTCAGCACAGGGTAGAGTACTTATCTTTACGAAAATGCATAAAACTACATTAAAATATCTTGGTGTCTCATCTGTTTAGAAAGAAGTGTCTCATCTGCCATTTTGTTAAAATTTAAATCTTTTAATATGTAGCAGTACGTTGTTCAAATCCGTACTCGTTACCTTATTACAGTATGATACAGTAGAGGTCTGTTGTCATATTTTTGTGCAAGACGTTCTTGGGCCATTGCTGTGGAGATCAGCTGGATTGTTGCACAGATTGTATTTTTGTTCGCTCAGCTGGGTGTCTCTGACTCATGTGGAAACCCATACCAATTTTAAGAGTATCCAAACCAAACTGAGAATTCCATGTATCCCGCCTACACACGGAGATTCCAGAGACAGATTGTTGGAATGGAATGCACTCTCTCTCCCTGGAGGGACACATCCTGCTTACCTAATTCCGGAAAGTATGAGGCACAGGTTGGCAATCGCCTGGACTTGGGGATCCCTGAGTGTGCGTTGGATTACTGCTGGAGTCTAAGCAGCTATAAAAATGCATAGGTTGCCATTGATATCATCTGTGCCATCTGCGACCAGGGCTCCCTCTGCCTCCTCGTCCTCCTTGACCTCTCTGCTACCTTCGACACTGTTGACCACTCTATCCTCCTCCATCTCCTCTCACCTCAACCTTCACGGTTCTGTCCTTGACTGGTTCAGATCGTACCTCTCACACCGCCTCCACTTCATCTCCACAAAAGGCTTCTTCTCTAGCCCCTGCACCATCTCGTGCGGCGTTCCTCAGCGGTCTGTCCTTGGTTCCCTCCTCTTCAATATCTATATACTCCCTCTTGGTGACATCATCTGCAGACATGGGGTCAATTTCCACGTGTATGCGGATGTACCCAACTATACCTCTCTGCCTCCACCCTTGAGTCCAGGATCACTGCTGTCCTGACGGAATGTTTGTCAGACATCAAGTCCTGGATGGGAGCCCACCTTCTTCAGTTGAACATCAACAAACCAAAGGCTCTCTTGATTGGCACCCGTCAGCGTCTCCACACACCAAGCGCTGACAGCATCACCATCGATAGACGCACACTCCACCTTACTGAGTCAGTCCGGAACTTTGGCGTCTTGTTTGACCCTCAACTATCCTTTCTACCCCTCATCTGTGCCTCCTTCAAGACCCATCTCAAGACCCTCCTCTTCGATCGTGCTTTCGATCACCCTGCCTCCCTCTCTGCCCTCCATTCTCCCCAATCCTGACCTCCAGTTTGGGTCCGCAACATTGACTGTCCAGCATCTTGGGACGTCCTTTCGATATGAAAGGCGCTATACAAATGTAATTTTGTAGTTGTTGTGATATCACTGTCTGGCAAGCTTTGCTGCTGCTTGTCTGGCTACGACCACCCTACCCATTACGGCTTTGGCTTGCAAAGTTAATAGGAACAGATTGCATACGTGCCCTAAATGCAATCAGTGTCACTTCGCCTTTTAATGTGGTGTGAAACATTGCAGGTAGCTGGGAACCTTGGCATTACAAACCCATCTCACTGGGGGCCTATATTTCGAGAAGCTGTTCGAAGCAGAAACCAGCAGAGTATCTGATTTAAGTTCTGCCAGTCAGTCGTTGGAAGTAAATTTCAGTTGTGTGGTTTAAACAAAGTGATGCAAAAGTAATTGACTTAAATGCTTGGTCACCAAGTTTGAGTTTTGAACTGACTTCATTTGGGTTTTATCATCCTGCCAGCAGTTATTTTGGTTAACTGTTTTCCAAGTTGACGCCCCATGTCATTTCATTTGGGCTATTGGGTAGTTTTAGCACATTTTACAATGTAAGAATGTCGGTTTTCATTTTGAGTCATTCACATTCTTTGGAAATTCTTTCTCCTATTTGTGAAACCTGATCTTTTATAGTAAAACAGTGTATAGATTATTATATCTTTTAATGAATACCAGCTGAAGTTAAACATAGAGAAATATAATTTACGAAAGTACAGCTGGTGATTTTGAATGCGTCTTTAATTACAGTTTGTCCACTTATGACAAAAGTAGTAAGTTTTATTCGTGTGCATATTTTGAAACTATAGCTCACAGTGAACTGTCTCAGAAAGATACTCTAATTAAAAATAAAAGTAATTATAATCAACCTGGCATCTGACATAGTTCCTCATCACATTGTCAAATCGTCTTCGAGAGGTTCACAGAATTTACTGTAAAGTGTAGCAACTATGTATTTGTAGGCGCACACAACATTGACCGATAAAGAGGCACAAAGCGAATACGCAATGTTGTCTGGAGGTTTGTTTGCCCTTCTCTTTTTGAATAGTGCCGTGGGATCTTTAATGTCCACCTGAATAGACAGACCCGACTTCTATTTAACACCTGAACTAAAAACGGCATCTATCTCAATGCAGCACTCCCCTACCACTGCACTGCAATGTCAGTTCTGATGTGGCGCTTGAACCCACACCCTTCAGAGACAAGTGTGAGCCAGGTTGACATCTTAAAGAAGATATTCAGCTTATTAATAAATTTCGGTCACACAACATCTCATCAGTGACACCTCATCACTATCTCTGATTTGTATCCACCACATGTGGAAGGGCTGCACATTTATTTCTGATGGTCCAACCTTTTGTAGGGTGTGATGGACTAAATTGCAGAACCCTTTGCCATTAAATCCAAGGATAAGGCACTTTTGTGTTGCTTTATTTCCCAATTGAGGGCCATAGATTTCAATCTTGTTTTGTGAAATGTATGATGTTTTGTAGAAAAACGGATGTTCTTGTAAATGGTTAGAATCTCCTCGTCTCTAAATGCTGGAGTTGTCTAATTTGCAGAAAGCTCCATACTATACATGATCATTAAAATAATTATTTTTGGTGGTGCAAAAGATTTAAAAAAAAGCTGTCTTTTTTGTTGCCTTGAACATATTTACCGATAATAACTTTCTGAGACTGAATTAACTGGGTGGTGAGGGTGTGATGTGGACAAGCATTCACTGTATGTTCGCTGTAAGAAAATTGAAGCTGACATGTTTCATCATGTTTTCATTAAACCTTTATTCTTGTACAGTTTTTGATCCTTTCTGCTTTGTTATTGCAGATATTTGGTTTCCAGGCAGGCGTGACCTCTTTAGATAACGGGGGATCATTCTGCCCCCTTTCTCCAGTCATCCCGCCTTTCAGCACAGCTTTCTACGGCAAATTACTCCGACTTCCGACGTACTGGTGAGTTGAAAGCAAACATGAATATACCGCAGCACTTTTATGTCACATCCAGTTGAATTAGTTGAATCTGGTAATATTTCAGTTTGCGTATGAGGTCTAATTTGCAGAAAGCTCCATACATGATTATTAAAAAAAATATTTTTTGGGATGTAAAAAAGGAGCTGGTTTTTTGATGCTGGAAGATATTTACTATTAATAACCACATAAAATACACTTTGGTACAGTTGTAATAAATAATGATAAATATAAGCCTTGCATTTGATATAGCGCTTTTCACGTCTTCTAGACATTCTCAAAGCGTTTCACAGAATATACTGTAAAGTGAATTGACTGTATATTTGTGGGCAGTTATCAGTACGTAACATGTATCTCGTTTGTGGAACGGTACGTTTGCCATAAGATAGTAGTACATCATTCACGTGATGGTTGTACTTTTGTTTCATATTCAGCGCTTTGAGACGTCCTCCCGACGTGAAAAGTGCTCTATAAATGTAACTTTGTTGTTGTTATTGTTGATATTGAACAACTGAATAACTTCATCCGTCAGACAAACAGAAACTATACAATGTGTGGAACTCCCAGTAGTTTGGTCTGAAGACTCTCTGAAGTATGGTGACGGGATTCCGTGTGTGTCAGGCATCCAGACGATTCCCCCCCACCCACACACAGTTAGTCCTGCTTTTGAATTGGAATCCTAGCTGGGGTGTTGTTTGGTCTTTGGCAACTGAGCCTCTTTTGAAGATGAGGATCATTTGGAGGTTTGCCCTCGCACCTTTTGATTCCAACCCTCCCTCAGGGTATTATACAACAATGATAACAAATAATCCTTGCATTTAATAAAGTACCATTCATGTCAGGAGAATGTTTCAAAATGCTTCACAGCATTTACTGTTAAGTGTAGTATCTGTATTTGTAGGTTATGTGGCAGCCAGGAGTTGAAACACTAATTTTGTTTGCCAAGACCTCAGGAGAAACTCCCTTCTCTTTTCAAAAGTGTAGCACCACGGGATATTTAGTGTCCATTTCAACAAGTACCCGGGTTTAATGTCTCATCCGACGGTCAGCACTTCCCAACAATACAGCGCTCCCCCAACACTGAATTAGCGTGTCAACCTTGAGTATGTGAGTTTAAAGCCTGAACCCAGAACTTTCTGACTCAGATGGGAGATGCTACTAAGCGACCCAGGTTGACACCTGAATATTCAGCATTATTGGATCTTTTCTCTTGGCCTCATCATCAGAATACCATATGTGTGGGGAGGGGGGAGGGATTCTGCTTTTCAGTTTAATAATAATGATCCTTGCATTTGATATAGCGCTTTGATGATCGTTGCATTTGCCTTTGATACAGGCGTATGAATGACGTCATTGATAGTCTCAAAGTGCTTCACAGCATATACTATAAAGTGAATTGACTATATTTTGTGGGCAAAAGTTTGGGCTCTGAATCTGTTGCTACCTCTGGGCATCTATTTAATAAGTAGTTAGATAGGTAGATAGATAGGTAGGGAGAGGGATAAGTAGAGAGGGAAATATAGATAATCATGAGCGTGTGTGTGTGTATGCCTATATAATGTACATGTGTGGTATATTGGTTCTTTTTCATATAATTAGTGGTTGTTAGATGCTGACTTTATAACTTTCTAGTTTCAGAACTTCGCAATTCTTTTTGGGTGTTTGTTTTCACGTTCTTACATTTGGAAAAATAAAATAGTTTTTAAAAACAAAGTGCAAGTTAATTGTAGCATTTTAGTCACTCTATTTTCCTGTCAAGCTTGAATGGGAGATTTCATGAATGAATGGCCATGTGGTAAGCTGAACCTCACATTTGTGCTCACAAGACCCAGCCCAAGCCCTGGTTTTACTGCGGAGTGAATTATGTTCAGACTTTCTAAGTGTTTACAGTTATGTCAGTCAAATCAGCTCTGGATTTTTGCCAGGATAAAACTATGGCCTTTAGATCCAGACTTTTGGCTTTCCATAAACCATAAAGCCTTGGCAATTTCTGTGGAAGTAACATAGTTGTCCCTTGTTATTTCTGTAGCTATTGGTCATTTCATCACAAGAAAACAACCTCGGGCCTCTGACTAATTTACTGGATGATTTGCTTTACTTTGGAAGCAGGGAAACTGGATTAGGTGCAATGAAGGACTTGTACAAACCTTTCAGAGGATTAAAGCAACTTTTCTGAACCCAAATTAATTCATCAAATTACAGATTTTAATATCTTCTGAAGCTGGGAACTTCAGACGTAGGGAAGATTCCTCGTATGCCTATTCTATTCTGCAATATAGAAATGTACGGGGCTGGAAGATATTCTATGAAGTGCTTTGAGCCGTCTCAACGACGGGATAAGGTGCTATATCAAATGCAAGGATTATTATTTACTATATTCAGCACTGCTAGAAGTTGGCAGCACTGTTCACCTTTGTTGATTCTTTAAGCAGTCTATTTCACATCTTCACCCTTACTGCAAAGTATTTAAATGTAAGCTTTCTGTTCACTTTCCCTCTCCTGAGGTTGAGTATTGTTTTAAAGAATGAGTTGGGTAAATGCACGTACATAATGAAAGTTGGATAAATGTGTGTTTAAGTGTCTTAAGTACAAAGGGAGTTATAGTTCCTCTTAATTATATAATTAATCATTGAAAAGGCATGATATTGGGTAATTAAAAGATTAATTAAAAGATTATCAATTCCCCCAGATCCAACAACAACTTGCACTTATATAGCACTCTCCACACAGGTTGGCATCTCAGAGTGCTTAGATGTGTTTACCATGTGTTTGCATACGTGGTTCACACAGCTCACACAATGCAAATATGTTTAAACAATTCATAATGACACCGCTGTGACTGTGTCAAACATATTAAATATTTTGCACATCAATTAGAAATTACCAGAAAATTCATCTTGCGTGGTCTTTTATTATTTGGAGAAGTTAAAATTGGCATGAAGACAAACAAACCAATTATCTAATGATACTTTACCTTTTTCAGAACAGGGTGTAGTGAAAATTACGATTGTTTTTCCGTGTTTAAGTTTTATCAGTAGACATTCTCTGTGAAAATGTTTGTTCCTCTTTTCTAAAGAAATTTAATTTAAGTTGATCACACAATGAATAAAATAATAACATATATATACTTTTTAATCATGCTTTCATTTGCTACCGCGCCTTTCACATCAGGAGGATTTCTCAAAACTCTTCGCAGAACATACTGTAAAGGATAGATTTGGTGTATTTTGTAGGTGAACTCAGAAGCCAATTTGTGCATGGCAAAGCCCTATTTCTTTATGTAGAATGTGGAATTTTCTACCACAAGTGTAACCAAAGCAATGTCCATAAATTCTTTTAAAATGAAATGGGGTAGATTCCTGATGAGGAATTTTAGGGGTCATGGGGAGTGAGCGGGAATAGATTGGCGAGAAACTCCAGTGCAAGTAAGCCTTGGTGTTTGTTTTCTGTTCTGATTCTATTGTAAAATTAACATTGATAGTGAAAATGGTAGATGCTCAAATTGTACGCTGCTGTGTTTGGTGCTACTGAAAATATCTGTGCTTCAACAAACAAGGGGTTCGTGAACTGTGCTTTTGCCAACACAAAGCACAGCGGTTTTAAGTTGTCAACCGAATGACTGAAAGTTCAAGCAAAGAGATAGCTGTGTGTGGTCGCAGTTGCTGTTATTCACCAGGTGGTGGTGCCTTAATTGCTGGAATGACATTTACCCTGCAGCTGCCAGTCGCACAATTGTTGCTTTTAAAATTGAATTTGATGAATGAAGATAAAGTCAGTTTATAGTAATCTGCAAAAATAACCCTTTCTTAAAGAGGATTCTGTCAGTTGATTATTGCAAATGTCACAGTGATGCTTCGTAGATGAAGAAAAGCTAATCCGGCATGTCACGGAAGACAGATGAAATGAAAGGCTGTGAAGTGGTGTTTTTCATACACCTGTATTCCTTTTGAGCTTTTAAAATTTGGCTGTTTCTTGATCTTGATAATGTCAAGATAATGAAAACTTGACTATGGAAAGATTACTAGAATTTCATGCCTGGAAGCTATACTTGCACGATGAGTTGAACAGGAAGCTGGCGAAGGCTGAGTAAGCAACAAGCTCCAGTGAAGCATGTAACTTTCAGCACTCTGACTTTAAGTTTGTCTAAAAGATGCTGGGGCCTTTTTCAATTCTGTGTAAATTGCAGCAAATGTATGGAGGATAAGTGGGACAACATTAATGTGATTTTGCTCTGTGTTTCTGTAAAAAACCCAAGCGAAACTGATATCACAAACTGGTACGATTCACAAATGGACTAAAATCATGCCCCACAGCTGGTAGCCATTTGTTCTCTTTATTTCATGGTTATTTAGAATGATTTCCCCCCCAATTTTCTCCCCTCCTCTCCTGAAGGCAATGACTTAATGCTGATGTGCAATTGCACAGATAGTGCTCGATCTCCCGTCGCTCACTTAAATGGCAACTATCTTGGGGTGGGGGAAATTGAGAAAGAATCATGTCTGATTTTCTCCACCCCCCCTCTCTCCCACACAGACACAGACATGGTCTTGGCTCGCTGAAGCCAAAAAATGAGGTATCTCAGCGCAGACTTGGGACTAAACCAGATGATCCTTCTGGTCTGCGGCTCAGTGGTTCTGACATTTCACAATGCAAAATACTAGTGGTTTGAGGGAGCGCCCAACAATACTTGTTTTTTGCACAGCAGTTTCAGAGCTGGAATCACAATCCAAATGTGGCTATAACGCCTTGCCTCAGAAGCTGCATGTTTCATTCATCTTGTAATTTACTAGTCTCTAGAGGTCTTTCATTTACTGTCACAAAAGCTCTTTTGTTGAGCGTCAAGCATTCTGATACCATTCGTGTGAAGCAGGCTTTATATAAATGCTAGTTGTTATCCGGCTACACTGCATTGTTCAGTCAAGAAATATCAAGTAAAATGGAGAGAATTTGTTTTGTACACCGTCGTGCCTTATGTTAAAATGTCT